CGTCAAATTGTTGACAATTCATGGGACTCCCCCTTATCCTAATGTTGACATATGATCTCAGATGTTTTAGAACAATAGTTTGTAATATTCGCTTTTAATAACTTACAGTAAGAGGTCAGTGTTTCGAAAAATTAATACAGATGTAGGTAGGGGTAGTGCGACGATCCCCTTGCAATCCGTTTTGTTACGCCACTGATGTAGGCTAGGAAAAAAAATGTTGGTTACTAATAAAAAACAAATGTTTGTTAGAAAATAAATGTAAACGTAAGCCCGGGTAAAAAAACGTATGGCCAGATAAAAATATGCTAATGTTGGTTAAACAAAAGCCGCGAGTGACTCGTTATGTAACGAGGTACCTGCCGAGTAATGAAATACCTGTCAAGTAACGCTGCTCTTCATGCGTCTTTTCATCCTGCGACCTTAACCCGGTCAGGTGACAGACCTTGAGTTGTATTTCCTGTTGTGCTTCGCTCATTCATCTTGGCGTTGATGTGCATTTCTTTACGCACGAAAAGGTTTACTCGATTATCTCCCTTGAGTTGAAATCTAGATCATTTCTCGTTTCTGTATTTAAATATAATAATACGGCTCTTTTCACTAGATATAAGAAATTGTTACAAATAGGAATGTAGAAAATGAACATATGACAACGTGGCCTCGGTAGATTTAAAACATTAAAATTAAAACTTTTAGGGCGGATCGTCTAATGTTCTTAGCAGAGAATGTACACAATTTCTTAAACATATTGGCTGAACTCTGATCTAGAACAATTGTATGGGCCATCCAACTAGCTTTAGGCCATCCAGCTAGTGTTGGATTATATAGTTAGTGTTGGGTTATCCAGCTAGATTTGGATTATCCAGCTAGATTTAGATTATCCAGCTAGTGTTGGATTATATAGCTAGTGTTGGATTATCCAGCTAGATTTGGATTATCCAGCTAGATTTGGATTATCCAGCTAGTGTTGGATGATATAGCTAGTGTTGGAATATCCAAACCAGCTAGTGTTGGCCTATTTACTTAACGATGTATTATCCAACTGATATTGAATTATGACGACAGCACCATATTAAGTCAAGTCCTCTTTAGAAATCCATAACACTCATTTTAAAGACAGCTTTATAAGCATAGGTTAGAGAGTAACTTCAATGGCTTTGTAGGTAAATCGAATGTCAGCCCCGGGCTATGACCCCCCCCCCCCCCTCCCACCACCACCCTATACCTACTACCTTTTGGACTGAATGAAAATAAATATCCGGGATCGTCAAAACAAGAGGAGCGAACTCCCGTGGGAAAATAACCCTGTTTAAATATTTCTCAGCAAATTGTAATCATTAACCTACAGTTACGTCACCAGTAATCGCCTTGAGGTCTTTCATTAGTTTACACTAATTTACTGGGCCAGCTACTGTGACCTTTAGAGTCGTCTCCCATGTTGAAAAAAAATAGGATTCCCTCCCTTGCTTAACGCCGAGTAAAATATTCTCCAGGGGATTAATTTTTAATTGCTTAGGACGACAATTTAGATTCAGGTAAGCCATAATTAAATGGAAGAAAAAAAAGTTTCATGATTTTTATCTAGCAATATTTGATGACAATGGGAGGGTTTAAGTGTGGTCAAGTTGATTGTTTGTTATTTAATTATTTCTTAACTTTAAGCTGTTTTGGTAAATTTGATTTGGTCGTCTTTTAATAGAATTGGAATCGTTGCTAGGGTAGTAATCGATCATTGCTTGTAGTTAGGTTCGTCTACTCTGAGTATGTAAAACAAAACTCGGAATCTAAACACTTGTATAACAATTTTGCTTTGTTTCATGTTTGTTTGTTTGTTTGTTTTTGTTGTTGTTTTGTTGTTGTTGTTTTTTTTTGTCTTTTTTTTTTAATAAAATTTTTCTATACGTGTTGGTTTAAAGAGGTTAGAAAGATTTTGCTTTAATTATAAAATTATAAAAACAGGTGTTGTAAACTTAATCACCACTCCCCTCCTCTCCTCCTCCTCCCCCCCCCCCCCCCCCTCCCATGTCCTGAGCTGACTTAATGCTAGTTAGGATTAAAGAAAAGAATAATGAGCATTGTCTCCCCTTACAAAAGAAACCAGGGGAGGTAAGCGGTTGTGTTTTGGTCTGTTTTTTTTTTTCATGCCCACTTCCTCAAGCTATTATAAAGCCGTGTTTAAGCAAATATTTTCATACCGCGGCAATAGCCAAGTTTGTTGTGGAAATTACTTTTTTTTTTGACACACTTTTGTCCGTGTGCTTGTCTTATGATGTGCTGGGCTACGTGTGTACTTGATAGGTGTGTGTAGATATCTCTTACCACACATACACACAACAACACTGTTTTCTTGATATTCTTGACGTGTTGAACTAACCTGGACTAGAATCAAGACTCTTTGGCTTTTTGTGTATGTATTTTATTTTGAAAATCGAACTCTCCTGTCCATTATAAAATTTCTATTTATAGCATACCTGTTTATGGGTATTTAAAATCGAAAAGCTTTTAAAAAAATAAAATGATTTTTTTTTTTACAAATTTGATGAAAACTGAAAATTTTCCTATAACGCCTCAGGCAATATTTTTATACTTCATTATTTTTGGCGGTAAATAGCTTTCATTTTTTGTATTTTAATTAGACTTATTAGACGTGTTTATTTAAGAATTTAATTATTCCATTAACAGAGAACACTTCATCAATTTTTTGTTAATGAATGAGTGTACTAGTAACCCTGAACTTGACCCGGAAGTGTCGTTTGTTTTCTGGAAATACCTATGGTTATGTGGGTGTAGTTTATCGATGTGAAACAAATTTAAATTTCGACTTAACACAATTTTTCTTTTTTTGTTCACATTGTAAATTGCACAATTTGAAATGTTTTTTTTTTTTTTTTGCGTTAAATTTGCATACATGTCAATTATTTGCATCACTAAAACATATATTATCAGTTTAACAGACGAAAATCGTTTATGCAAACGCCACGTACATTTGCTTGTTTTTGTATCTCGATTGCTATTTGCCCAACTTTTGAATCACGTTTTCTATTAGCCCAACTTTTGTGTCACGTTTCTTATTTGTCCAACTTTTGTGTCTCGTTTGTTATTTGTCTAATTTTCGTGTCTCGTTTGCTATTTGTCCTACTTTTAATGTTATAAATGCACAACTCGAATAAGCTTTTGACACATTTATGTGTGTTAAACCCCATGTAGCTATTCGCACACGATGTGTGTGTACAGCCTCTCGCCTGCCGTGTTCACCTCGTGACGTCAGCAACCCCTAAGACCTGACCCCTGATACAACAACTATTTCCTCCATCAACTTTCCTTTGACCCCACCCACCCACCTACGTCCCTACCTTCTGCCCTACCTGCCTCATCACACACCTATCCCCAACCGTCTAGACAAAACTGTTTCGTTCACCGCCTTACCTTCCAAATTCGTCGTTGCTATGACGTCATATTACCCATGCGTGAATTGTCTAAGCGCATCAGTTTTTTGAACTATTTTTAATATTTTTTTTGTGTCAGAGACTTTGTGCTAAATAAACAAACCCACACTTATTTTTGTCTGACTCTTTTATTATTTAAAAGAGAAACAGGTAAACATGTGTTTTGGCAATATATGGGTAACTACGTCATTCGAGCTTAAGTAAGGCATGGTTAAATTCCTAAAAATAAAAACACGTTGAATAATGGCTTAATTTTTTATCGTACTCATTTCAGGAATTTCATAAAATAATGTATTATTAATTCCCTTAGTTATACTTACAATTCAAAATTATTAAAATATGTAAAAAGCCTTATTCTAAATGGTTTGTGTCCGTTAGATTAATTAAACTTTCGTAACTTTTATGCAAAGTTACATTTTTTAACAACTGTTTAGTTGTTGAATTTTAGAATTTTTTTTTTTTGTTAATTATGTTAATGTATGCGTGATGTGACGTGCATCTACCATTGTCGTCGTTCCCTCCCCCCCCCCCCCCCCCCCTCTGCAACGTTGACGTTATCAAAAATAATCTCGACTCCCAAAAGACATTGTGGCTAGAGCGTCACGGATATATTCGCGTCGTGGCTAAAAATAGTGACCAGTAAGGAGAGCCGTAACAAAATAAGAATGAACGGTCTGGCTTATGATGACGACACAGGCGCAACCTACACGTGTAGGCTGGCGATATATCAACGTGCGTCCCACTGGCTGGATTATATGTTTCATCCTGAGCTCACAGTAACACATCCTAGACTAGTGTTTTGTTTATTCCCTGCGTATCCTACTATTGTTGTGGTGGGATTATATTTATTTTTGGACGTGGATATTTTACGGTGTCCTGAAACTTTTTCTGGAAAAGTTAGATCAAGTTGGTTGTTTTTTTCGTCATATATAAGGCAAAAAAAAAAATTTTTTTTTTTACTAAAGTTGTAATTCGCTAGAAGTGTTCATTTATATTTGCTAATTTTTATATCGATGATGATTTGGCCTAATAAAAACAAAATTACATACTAATTTTGCAATTAATGTGTTTCCTAATTAGATAGCAAAATATAGGTGGCGCGTTTGTTTCATTCATTTCGATTCTTTAATGGGTTTGTCTCTATTTTTGGACTCTTATTTTTTTTTTATTAATTCAGGTTTTACAGCGATTATTTGATAGTTTCAAACATTTAATAATTCAACTTTTTCACAAATGTTTTATTAATAATAGATTCAAATTTAACTGAAAGACTCAAGTATATTCAATAAATTCACTTTGATATTATGCATCTTAAAAATCGTACATATATTTATTTATTTCTCACAGACAGATTTACTAATTTTATAAAAACACATTTTTGACAGATACGCTTATTTTATTACATTGTTTTTTACTTTACTGTTAAATTTATTTTTTAAAAATCACATATATTTAACAGTTTCACAGATGTAATAAAATCACATTTATTTAACAGTTTCACAGATGTTATAAAATCACATGTATTTAACAGATCCACATTTTTTTGTGTACTTTCAGAGACTTTCAGAGCCGCTGCTGAGGCCGGTCCGTCAGATATCCTGAAACTTTACAACACGCGGAAAAATCTGGTCAACATTTCACCCAAGTTGCCAGAGAACACGCCAAGTACTCGGTACAAATTAGAAGTAGTGGCAGCCGACTACAGTAAGTTGTAATCTGGTCACCACGCCCTCTAGTGGCTCCATCTTTTTTTATGTTTATCGGCTCTTCTGTCTGCTAAGATGATTCCGCCTTCTTAAAAAAAATTAGTTAGGTTTTTTTTTTTTTTTTGAATTCAATTAATTTGTTTAGAAAGCTGCAAAAAAACGTAGGCTCTATAGAATTCAATCAATTTCTTTAGGATAAATATTTTCATAGGATAAATATTTCTAAGTACAAGCATATGTCGGTATGGTTTTGATTACATTTCACTTTGAGTCTGTTTCTCGTGTTTATATACCCACCCCGCCCTTCTCACGCATTTAATTATCTTCTTGTGTGGAGCCTGCGTCAATATATTGCCTTATCAGTTCAAGGAATTTCCATCCCATGTTTTCATCATAATATTTGCATCCCGTTTTATTATTATCATTTCCATCCCATGTTTTCATCTTAATATTTGCATCCCGTTTTAACATTATCATTTCCATCCCATGTTTTCGTTTTAGAATTTCTATCCCATTTTTTATCGTATTATTTCCACCGCTCACTCTTATTATTTATTCCAACCCATGTTTTTTTCTTCTAAAATTTCCATCTCTTATTGTTATTACGTCCATTCCATGTTTTCGTCCTAGTATTTCCATCTTGATGTGACTCACTTAGTGTTGGGTGTCGTGTCCTTCCGTGATCCAATTCAAGGCTGTTCTCATATTTCTTGTTTTGCCCATTTCAAGGACACGTCCTATTGTTCCTTTTTTTCTCTCTCTAATTTATATACAATATTGTTGATAACAACCACTCTACCAATTCATACCTTCTTTGTCCAAACCGGTTTCCACTTTTTGTTTTGTTTCGTTGTTTTTTTTTTTTAATCTCCGGGTGAGAATTTCATTAAACCTAACAGTACAAGCTGCATGTAATCGTAGCCCCATGTGCAGACATACTCTCAAAACTTCTTTATTGGATATTTTGTTTACATCTGTTCGTATTGATGTTATGAGTACGGCTGGGCGCCATCTTGATATTGTAAACATGGATTGGATGAGAAGTGCATTGGCGAACGCTTTTTTTTTTTTTGTGTCAGGTCTGCTATGTGGCTGGTTTAGCAGATGTGTGTGTTTTAATATCAATAAATCTAATAACGCAAAAAAATCTGGCGGATGTCGGCACGAAGGCCAAACGCGGTATGTCAAAAATTCGGCCGGGTCGCTCTGCAGATGTTCCCATTATACATCACCCTAATGTTTGTTTCGCTTTATTAAGTTTTGTTGTATGTCTAGATGTGCAGATTATATTTGTAGGCCCTACATGCAAATGCACACGTTCGTGATTGTTTTCGCGATTGCTCCAAAAGGGAAGCACAATATTAAAAAAACAAGACGTGTCAATATTTATTTATATCAGGGCGTGTATACATTCAGTGGCGTCACTAGATCGGATATATATATATATATATATATATATATATATATATATATATATATATATATATATATATATATATATATATATATATACGCATTATCAAATAGAGCTTCCATTTGCAGAGCGTGGTAAACTAAATTATCGCTTATTGATCAAGAGTTTTTTCCCATAATTAACAATAAAGTGATTTATGCGTGCGCATCTTTTTGGGACATAAAAATTTAACAGCTTGACAATTTGTGGATCTACACTTTTAATTATGGTGTGGCGGCTTAATGCGCTGTAGAGATGGGTCGTTTTGCATTGAAGAACTGCGCAGAGATTGTAGTTTTTGCAATGGTTGATTTTACCACAGGGTCTGAGGTTATGTTGTTGGGTGTTAAGAGGCTCTAGTAGATGTTTGGGTTTGAACCATTTGCGATCAAAACTTTAGTCACGTGGGGAAGTATCACGTGGTGTTGACGACACGTGCTGTTGTGGGTGTGTTGTGGGATAAGTTTGGTGTTAATGTTGCGTATCTTTTGGGATTTTGTTGTTTTGTGGAAATAGTTCATTGGGGTTGTGTTGTTTTATACAAATTGTTCTTGTGTTGATGTCTTATCTAAATGTGGGCTTGTGTTGATGTCTTATCTAAATGTGAGCTTGTGTTGATGTCTTATCTAAATGTGGGCTTGTGTTGATGTCTTATCTATATGTGGGCTTGCTGTGATGTCTTATCTAAATGTGGGCTTGTGTTGATGTCTTATCTAAATGTGGGCTTGTGTTGATGTCTTATCTAAATGTGGGCTTGTGATGTCTTATCTAAATGTGGGCTTATGTTGATGTCTTATCTAAATGTGGGCTTATGTTGATGTTTTATCTAAATGTGGGCTTGTGTTGGTGTCTTATCTAAACGTGGGCTTGTGATGTCTTATCTAAATGTGGGCTTGTGTTGATGTCTTATCTAAATGTGGGCTTGTGTTGATGTCTTATCTAAATGTGGGCTTGTCATGTCTTATCTAAATGTGGGCTTGTGTTGATGTCTTATCTAAATGTGGGCTTGTGTTGATGTCTTATCTAAATGTGGGCTTGTGTTGATGTCTTATCTAAATGTGGGCTTGTGTTGATGTCTTATCAACATGTGGGCTTGTGTTGATGTCTTATCTAAATGTGGGCTTGTGATGTCTTATCTAAATGTGGGCTTGTGTTGATGTCTTATCTAAATGTGGGCTTGTGTTGATGTCTTATCTAAATGTGGGCTTGTGTTGATGTCTTATCTAAATGTGGGCTTGTGTTGATGTCTTATCTAAATGTGGGCTTGTGTTGATGTCTTATCTAAATGTGGGCTTGTGTTGATGTCTTATCTAAATGTGGGCTTGTGTTGATGTCTTATCTAAATGTGGGCTTGCTGTGATATCTTATCTAAATGTGGGCTTGTGTTGATGTCTTATCTAAATGTGGGCTTGTGATGTCTTATCTAAATGTGGGCTTGTGATGTCTTATCTAAATGTGGGCTTCTGTTGATGTCTTATCTAAATGTGGGCTTGTGTTGTCTTATCTAAATGTGGGCTTGTGTTGTCTCACCTCAATCAAACGAGAGCAGCAGCTAGGTGTCTTTTAACCAGGTCGCTTTGCCCCTTATTTCTTTGCAGATAAGAACGGACTCCTCCCGTCCCCCTCCGGAAGCTGTGACGTCAGTGCAATAGATCAAAGGTAAGCTTGGCGTCAGGCATCAATTTAATATTAGGGGGGGGGGGGGGGGCATCAATTTGATATCGGGGGGGGGGGGGGAGGCGTCAATTATATATCTGGACAGGGTTTTGGAAGTGGGGGGGGGGGGGGTATTCATTCGTGGTTCCTGTGAAATCAGTGGGCTATAGAGATTTTAATGGCTCTTTCACCGGCACTTGTTTTATGTAACCGTTTATTTTGGCCAGATTATTAAGTGGCATCATGTTTAATGTCAATTGTCAAAAAATGATGGCATTATGGTAGAGACGTACTGATCAGCTTTCAGCTAAGTTGGTACACTGTCAAATATGATGGGTTTTAAGCTCTATATGTCAGCTTTGTACTAAGTTAGTGGATATTGAACTTTAGTTTAGGCCTGTATGGTTGTAAGTAATGCGATGGTTAAAGTAGGATTTCACAAAAATATATTTATGACAGATATTTGATATAAATAATTTAAACGTATTTAAAATTGGTGTTAAAAGTTGGGGTTGTACAACCCTAATTATTGCTTAAAGTTGTGGGGTTTTCCTGATTAAAATTAGCGTAATTTTGTTAAAAAATTAATGTGCTTCTCTCCCTTTGAATTTGATCCGATAGGTTGTCTGCCTTGGAGAAAAAAGTTTACATCGACAATGGTGAAATGCCTGAGACTTTCCATGACCTCAAGGCCAAAGTTGACAATTTTAAAGAAAAATTAGAAGTAGGTTTACATAGGAGTAGGTTACACACAAGTAGGTTTTCATACAAGTAGGTTTATACACAAGTTGGTTTATACACATGGTAGGTTTACACACAAGTAGGTTTATACACAAATAGGTTTACACACAAGTTAGTTTAATATAAAACAAGTAGGTTTACACAGAAGTAGGTTTATACACAAATAGGTTTACACACAAGATAGTTTTATATAAAACAAGTAGGTTCACACAGAAGTAGGTTTATACACATGTAGGTTTACACACCAGTAGATTTTGCACACCAGTAGGTTTAGGTAATAGTATACATAGTTTTTATTTTTGTCTTTCTAAACCAATGTGTAAATTGAATTTTCAGAGTGTTGCCCACCTGAGTTGGTTAGGCTTATCAAAAGATTTATCTATTGGAATGTCGCAACCTTTCTGGCATAAAAAATCTTCTCCGAGAAAGATGGAAATGCATCACAAAAAAGTTTATGAGCGTTTTATGAAATTTACGTAAGTGTCCTATTCATATAAATATACATTTGTATATGTGTGTGTATATATATATATATATATATAATCTGAATAATTATTTGTTTAAAATATATTCATTAGTTGTTTTGTGAAATTGAATGTTGTTGAATGCAATTGTATAAAGTATGCAACAGAACATGTACATAAAAAATTTCCCTGTATGCGGAATCTGTATTTAATGTGTTGTTGTTTTAGGAAATATGTAGAAAAGTTGTTCTTGTTTTACCACATAGCTAGCTCAGTACTTTTGTTCTAATATGTTTGGTGAATATGTATAGAATCTTTTTTTTTTTTGTCCCAGGGAATGTATAAAGAAGAATTCGTTAATCTAAAAAAAAGGTGTACAGCATGAAAAGTTTGTAAAATGTTTATGGTTGTTGTTTCAGCAAAGTCCATGTTAGCGATGAAGTGAGGAGAGAACTTAGAAAACAATCTTTTGACAACTGGCAGTGGGACGACCCTGAGATGTTGATTCTGCTGAGACAGATGTACATTGATCTCAACCTCATCACAAAGCTGAATATTGATGTGAGCATCTTCAAGTCACTTCATATATATATATATATATATATATATATATATATATATATATATATATATATATATATATATATATATATATATATATATGTATATATATATGTATATATATATGTATATATATATATATATTGTATATGTATATATATATATATATATATATATATAACTTTTTTTGTTTGTAAACATTAATATAATGTAGATTTCTGTAATAGTTTATGCTGTGTGTTGAAAATGTTATTTTTAATCAGGGGAAATAACTTACAAATAAAATGTATTTCATGATTATCTTTTCCTGTTATAATTCTCTGTCTTCTCATGTCCAGATGAATGTTCTCCATGAATGGCTGTATGAAGTGTATAGAAACTACAACATAGTCCCCTTCCACAACTTCAAGCACTGTTTCATGGTGGCTCAAATGGTAAGGCCTCAACCATTCTACAAATAATTGAAAGTTGTTTTAAATCTGCTTCATTTAAATCTTCTTAAAGTTTAAAGTGGGTGGAGTTATCATTACTGTAGTTCAGATTAAAGTATGTGAATATGTGAAGCATTACTGTAGGTTAGATTAAAGTATGTGAATAAGTGAACCATTATTGTAGGTTAGATTAAAGTATGTGAATACATGAACGATTACTTTAGGTATGATTAAAGTATGTGAATACATGAACCATTATGTAGTTGAGATTAAAATATGTAAATCTTGACCAGATGTATGGCCTGACATGGTTGATTGACCTGCCCTCAAAGCTGGACACGCTTGAAATATTTACTTTGCTCACCTCCGCCATATGTCATGACCTCGACCATCCTGGGTACAACAACGCTTATCAGGTAAATTTTTTGTGACCCCCTTAGCTCAGCATTACTATTTAGGCATACAATCTTCAGAACTTGTAATAGACAGTAGTTTGAAAGTCATTGAACTTCAGTATACCTAATTAAGACCTATCTTGATCATTAGCCTTTTTCTGTACCAGTGTTTTGCAAGGGTACTAACAGTTACATAACTTGTGTATAGATAAATAGTTATCAACCTCATTTTGCTTTCATAAAGCTTTTACAATTTTTATATGTTATAGTATGGAACATAACATTTACCTACTTGATTAATGGTTTAAAATAAACTTCGATTTGCCTAAACTTATATAAATATTTTCCTAACTTGTCAAACTTGCTTCATATTATTTTATTTCTTTTGTGCCCATACAGATCAATGCAAAAACGGAGCTAGCCCTTCGATACAATGACATTTCCCCATTGGAAAATCATCACTGCGCTGTTGCATTTGATATTTTGAAAAAAGACAAGTGCAACATCACACGGGATTTCTCTAGGGATCAGTTTAAACGTTTTAGGGATGGCATGATCAGGTTTGTACTGGCAGCTCATTAGTCATTAATACTTCAGGTTTATTTAGCATTTATTACATATGATTTTTTTTTGGTGATTGTAAGTAGGCCTACATTTAACATTTATAATATAAGGATTGGAAAAAATAATTTAATCTTGAGTAATTTAGTGTTGTTGTTTATTTCATGTATTTTATATATATATATATATATATATATATATATATATATATATATATATATATATATATATATATATATATATGTATATATATATATATATATATATATATATATATATATATATATATATTCCATGTATTATGTGATTTAAAGAAATTGTTCAGTTTTAATCATATTTTATGATTTTATGAAAACATCTGAAAATTATTTACATTAAATTTTAATTATTCCAAAAAATGTTATCTTTACGTAAAATATTGTTTGCATAACTTTTTTTTTTCATTGCAGGTGCATATTAGCAACAGATATGGCAAAACATAATGAAATACTCAACTCATTTAAATCCATCATTCCTCATTTTGATTTCAATGACAAGGAACATAAGTCTGTGGTAAGTCTTGTGTATGTTTATTCCAATTTAGAGGTTTCCAAACTTTTTTCACTACACATCCCCAAAGCCAACAAATATTGTAGCATTGCCTACCTGCTCTCATAAGATAATTTCTTCCCCTTATTGTTTTTTGTTATTAGTATTGCTAAAACTTAGTACAATGCTATAGTTAAAGAGGAGCAAATTATCCACTGTTGAACAACTTGAATACTAAGAAAGAAAATAAAAACATTAGTTGATAGAATAGCGATATAAAACACTTGTCGTATTGAACTATATAGCCACAGACTAAATATTTTTGTTCAGATTTCTTTTTAAAGTGTTAAAATTTTATTTAAATGGATTGTAGGTTTCTGATCAATTTTTTACTTCCCCTACCAACAGTCCCTGCCTCCAACCACTTTATTTGGAAACCTGTGTTCTAAATTGTTCACTTTTTTATGCCTTTCCATTGACTATTGTCCACCATTAATCAAAATAGCTATCAAATAATGTTAGCTTATATTAAGACTTTACTTGTTTATTGGAATCCATTATTCCATATCCCACTTTATCTCCAATATGCTTTTTTTTAAATATATTATTTACATACCAAAGACATTATTCTTACACATGCAGAAATCTCAAGAAACAATAATACTTGGTTTTTCTATGTTTGTTCTACAATTTTTACTATTTTTCTACAAACATCACAAGTTTAAATGTAGAGTGTGGTTATAATTTTAGAAATACTGAATTTTTTTTTGTTTGTTTTGTTTTTAAATTAGGTTTTTTTGTTTATTTTTACTCTTGCTTTGTTGTTAACTAAGTTTAGAATGTGACATAGATAATATCTCTATCACAAGTCTTGTAAATACAAAATTACATTTACATCGCAGTAGAAATTGCCTTTCTTTCTCATTTTATGACATTTTTCTAATGAATTTTTTAATTACCTAAACTTTTATTCTAACCTAAAAATTTTGATGATCTAACATTTGACTAAGAACATTCACATAATTTAAACTTTATGACTTAAACTTGACTTAAGACCAGTCATTTATCATGACCTACCATTTTATCATGACCTACCATTTTATCATGAGCTACAACTTTTTCATGATTTACCATTTCCTCATGACCTGACATTTTATCATGACCTACCATTTTATCATGACCTACCATTTTATCATGACCTACCATTTTATCATGACCTACCATTTTATCATGACCTAAGATTTTATCATGACCTACCTTTTTCTCATGACCTAACATTGCTACTCCCAGCTGATGATGGTGCTGATGAAAGTTTCCGATATCTCCAATGAAGCGCGTCCACTCTCTGTGGCAATGCCGTGGCTAGACTGTCTGTTAACTGAGTTTTTTAACCAGGTTTGCCACACGCCACATCTGTTCTTATAGGCTGTGTAATCATGGCGACACAGTTACCTACCCCTGCTTCTGATCTTGTTGTGCATTATTTAGTTTGGTGTATTATGGCATTATTCATTTTATAATTCACGTAGAAAGCTCAAGAATTTTGTGAAAAATGAAGGTTGATGATTTTTATAAAAATTTCTAAAACTTAAGTCTAAAATAAAAAAAATAACATGCAGCAAAAGTTGAATTTACAATTTTATAAATGTTTTGCTATTCTAGGTAGGTTTTTAAATTATATATAAATTGAAAATTACATGTAATTACAACTTTGTTTAAATTTACATGTAATTGCATCTCACTTTTATTGTTCACAAAATTCTTGAGTTAAGCATGATTTTTATTAGAAGTGACAATTATATTGTGTGGTTTTCATTTGCATGATTTATAAAATATAGTTTTCATGATTTACATGTAGATATTTGCTTTTTATTATATGTTGTTTTTTAAATATTAAAACAATCACCATATACCTAGAATTAAAAAAGACACACACTAATGACACACATTTTTTGATACATTTTAAATTCTCTAGTTTAAACATATTATTTATTTTCTTTTTAAACATTTTTAATTTTTTTGCTTTTTTTCTGAAGTTTTTTTTTTAATTTATCAATTTTTTTAGCTAACCTATATACAACAAAGAATACACACAAATCCTTTCAGATCAAAGTCTTTAAATTTCAGATAGAAAACAACAACTGTTCTGCATCTGTGTGATGTTGTTTTTGTATCTTTATTTTGTAGATTTGCCAGTTTGGTGTATGTTTTTTTTCTTTTGGTTTTCCTTCATAGCTTATGATGATCTTGATAAAAGTGGCCGACATTTCAAATGAGGCACGGCCAATGGCAGTAGCTGAGCCTTGGTTAGATTGTTTACTGCAAGAGTTCTTCAACCAGGTTAGCCTCAGACATGCAGATACTCAAGAGCTTTTACGTCATTCTGAACTTTAGCCAGGCTAAATTTAATTAATAATCTAGAAGTTTTGGAATAAATAACCATGTTGAATATTTTTTTTAAATTAAGTTAAACTTTGAAAAGTTATTTAGTCAATTTGGTATAAATAATTGGATAAAAATAAATAAAAAATTATATGGGTAAGCTTAATAAAATTAACAATTGAGTTAAAATTCAGAAAATCAGTTATGTCATAACATTGCTATAATGGTTGTGTTTTAAGCAATTATTATTATTGTAGTAATCTTGGTATAAAAAGTAGAGCTAAATTTCAGAAAATTAGTCACACAAAGATATGATGTTAAATTTTAATCGTAAAAGCTTTAAATCTCACAATAATTAAATCCAGAAACATGGTTGTTCAGTAAATTAACTAACTCAAAATACATTAATTCTAGAAATGTAATGTAAATATTCAAGGGGAAAACTCTAAAGATTTAAATTATTGTAGTAGATTTTAGTCATTTCTGTATTATTTGTAATACTTGGGGTGGAGGTATTTAGCTTGAATATAAAATTGTAACGTTTGAGATCTTGCTATAATTTTTTATTGTCTCTAACATGTTTTACGTGTAATCTTTGCATTTTGTGGTTTGGGTTTTTTCATTATACCCCTGTACATTCCCATTTAAATGTTTATTTTCTGCAACTTATTATATTTTTAATTTATCATTTTATTAAGCTAGACTATTATTTAAATACCTCATAACCTTTGAATTTTTTTTATCTATAAATATAAGTAAAATTCTTAAAGTTTAAGCTTAAAATAATTTCTTGAAAGAATTGAAATACACAATTAAATTACCAAATACTAATTTTTAGCTTCTATCCTTTTTTTAAATAACTATTTTTGCAGTGCACAAAAAAATTATTTTTTTTTACTTAGATATATTTAAATCTTCATTTTAAATTAGAATTAAAACTATTATTATAAATTAAAATTTTATTACCACACCTAATAAGTTTTCTAAAATGATCTAATTATAGAGTGACCTTGAAAAATTGGAAGGACTGCCTGTGGCGCCTTTCATGGATCGAGAAAAAGTATCCAAGTCCTCATCTCAAATTGGATTCATTAAGTTTGTCTTGCTACCACTCTTTGAAACTGTTGGGAAGCTTTTTCCACAACTGGAGGTAAAAAAGTTTTTCTTAAAATTAGTAGATATAACATATCTGGGATGGTATGGTCAAATTGTATAGCATTCTTCTGCTAACCTAATATCTTGAGCATGTCCCAGTCCAACCAACTAATGGTTTCCTGACTTAGTTTAGGGAAAGTAAAGGCGGCTGGGCATAGTACTGAGCACAATAACAGGTGAACTCAACTTCACCTGCCCCATGGGCCACCTAGTTCCAAAAGAATTTATATATATTTTAACCTTTTAAAATTGCTGAAATGTTATACATAAACAAAATTAGGGCTTTTTTTTCTTTCATTTTTCAGATATTAAAATTGTAATTAATCCTAAATTATGTTATCTACTTAATTGACATGTTTGTAAATGTCTGATAATTTATTTGGCTTGTATTGACAAAAATGGTGTCTGTTTCATATTTTATAACCACAAGGTATCTGTTCACAATTTACAGAGTGCCATCATTGAGCCAGTACGAGATGCCCTGGCCTATTACACAGAGATGCAGAGAGCCCTCGAAGAGGAGAAAGCTAAAAAAGATTCCTTAGCCGACAGCATGGAAGGGGATAAAAATGGTCTTCTCCCGGCTAAACTGAATAACGGCAGTGACGAGAAGGAGCCGGGCGGCATGAAGACATTGACACTGGGTCACAGTCTGACCCTGGCCAGAAACAACTCATCCAACCTGCGACGCGGCAGCACAACGAGACTGACATCGAAACACTCGATGGAGCTGGAGACATCTCCGTCATGACTGCGGCCGAGCCTGTGTTTGATTCCTCTTTCACCTCTCCATCCAAATATTTCACTCATTGCATAGCTGAAAAAACACTTTGAGGAATACAAATTAGTGTATTTACCTCCCTTTTATAATGACGACCAGTGAATGGAGTAAACTTTAAAGCTGGTTAACTTAACCCTACCACCTGGTTTAACATTGTTTTTACAGAAAACACAATCCTGTGTTAACAGACATATATTGTGATATTAGAAGACTATTTTCACAATTTTTTTGTTCGGTTCAAACACCTGCTCAAACTTTCTCTGTTTGAACTCATCTTACACTCAGGCATGTGAAAAGTGTTGTGAAACTAACATGTGAAACAAATCACACAACTCAAATCAGTACTACTTAAAATTTGAATACTTTCAAAGCTGAGGAATTCAGCAATGGAGAATCAGCGTCAGTATTTGTCAAGTGAAAGACTTAAACATTATCAATTGACAAATGTAACCAAACTTTGGTTTAATAGAAATGGACTTACATTTTCTAGAATTCTGGCTATGCTGTCAATGACTGACTAACATTACTAAGGAGGAAAATGACTCTTATGTGAAAAAAGTTTGGATTGGTGTTTTAAAAGTTTTGTGAAGGAAACATACTTAAGCTGCACTAATTTTTCCGGGTGATTAATTCATTTGATGCCAAAAACTATACTTAATATAAATTAATTAAATTGCATTTCACTTAAACTTTTACAGTTGTATGTTCCATTTTGATGTCATCCATTTTTAACTGTTTTTTTTTTTGTAATAAACCCATTTGATATTTAGAAAAAATTGGTTAAAAGTCAGGTTTGAGAGCCAATTTTCATTTGATTTTATAAAAAGTAGAAGAAAGTTTTAGACTTAGTGATTTGTAAATATTAATCCTATTGTTATTTGTTGTGTGAATCATGAAAGGTGATTAATTTATGCTGTTCTGAAAAGTTAATTGCTAATTATTCCTCTAGCATATATTTAGTTTAATTTTTTTCTGCTTATATGTTCCATCTTATCAATTTCATCAAGGTTTCAATAATTTCTACCCAAGGTAAAAATTACTGAAATCTCTATGTGTATTGACCTTGACCACGTGATCTCTTAATTCTACTCATGACTTTTTTGTCTTACTATTTTAAACCTGGCTGTTCTGTTTACAGTACATTATTTTAGCTTTGTTAGGCTGTTAATTAATAACTAGGGGGTTTCTATCTCCGCCTCCTTTCCTCCATTTTTTACCATCTTGCAGGTATGTTAATATTTCAAATAAACCAAATTATTATGGTACACTGAGTATTCCTTAGGTTGTTTTCCATGTTCTAAGTTTTATGAGGCAAGCCCCTGTCACCCAAAGTCCAATTTTTTAAACAAAATAAATGTTTATACACCATGTAAAAATAGCAAACCTATTTCATTAGGCTTTGTCTAAAGATAATTATTGAATCCAAAATTATTTTTTTTAGTTTCTTCAAAAAAGGCATATGAATGTTAATAAAAAAAGGACTGAAAACTAAAATAACTATTAGTATTATCACTCCAAACTTTAAATGTTGTCTACAATCTGCTACAATACAAAATTTTGTCTTATAACCTTCTTTGGTTAAACTAGGGGTGTTGTAGCGCTCTTTAAAAAAAATTTAACTGTTAGAAAATAGTAAACTTGTTTTGTTTTTTAAACTATCCACTTATAAATTTCACAAAATTACCCATTAACTTGAGGTTCTTATAGGTACATTCTGCATGGAGTTTGTATATAATTATTTAAAAAAAACACATGTTAATACCATTTTTTTTTAATTAAGATTTGTTACGTTGGAATGGTTAAAATATGTTTTTTGTCTTTGCAATAAAAATTTGAAGAAGCATAATATTGAAACATGGGTTGTTGTCCATAAATAATGTCCCACATCTGGGGAGAAGGAGGGTCAATACTTTGGTAATGATGTACTTCTTGTGTAAAGGTGTCAAAGAAACGTTAAACGGCATAAAGAGGAGAAAAATGTACGTTTTCGCTAGAATTATGGTAGTATGAAGATGGAGGGTAGAAATTTGTGTCCTTTTAAGGTGGTGAGGATGCTTACATTTTCTAATTATAAGACTTATTTTGGTGTGGTAGAATAAAAATCGTTAAAATTATGTGATCTTATTTATTTGGCCCTATGAAGGATTCGTCATTATTATATAAAAAACTAAAACAGTGCTAAAAATATTTTTTTGCTCCAGCTTTGCAGTTGATTACTTGCCCTAATGTTAGCTCTCTCCAAACCAAGGTCAAGAAAAGATGAAAAAATATGTAATCAAAATATGGATATTACAAACCAGTGTGATCACACCACACATAATCATCTCCATCACCGTGTAATATATGTATGTATGTACCATTTCACTTATAATTAAATAATCCCAAAGAATTATATATATATATATAAATGAAAGTTAAAAATTTTCATATTTTTGTACATGACTGAATGCTGAACAAAAACTAGGATTCTAGTAATGAAACAAAACTGTTATTAGCTTTAAGTTGTTGTAGATGCATCCTTGACTCCTGTCTCCACTGTTACTAACTCGCCCCATGGTGTTTACTACATTGGTGAAACTACATTTAAAATTTGTTCTTGTAATGTTGCCGTGGTATGAGTACCTTTAAAAAAATTATGCCAGTAGATAAATTCATTAAAAAGTAATTAATAATTAATTAGTAAATTTAATATTTTGCCATCTTAGTTATAACATATGTCTAGTAATTAATTTTTAAAAATCTAGGAGTAAAAAGTTTTCTTTCGCTAATTATATTTTAACAAATATAAGTAATTGTATCATTAAATTAGTTGCATAATCCTTTTGTATTATGTAAATAATAATTATTGCCTTTAGTTTAAAATAGATTTATTTTTTAATAAAACCAACATAGTACAAACTATAATCTTATACTTGAAAATTATAACAATTATGTGCAATGATAATTTTTTTGGGTTCTTGATCAGTTTTGATGGCTTCTCAATAAAAAGATTAATGATTGTTTGGTTGCCCCTGTATAAAATATGGTTGTTTATTAGTTTCATTGTGTAGTCTGCTCCTGTCTACATCTGCTGTAGAGTACACCTATGAGGAAGACACATATAATCAGCATTGATTCATATTTTTGTTTGTTCCTTTCATTTCCTTTACCATGTGCTCATTGAACCAAACTGTAGAGTATTAAAGAGGAAAGAAATTTGGTGAATTCTTGATCAGAGTTATCTTTTCCTTTTTGTGTATGTATCAGTGTGGTTTGTTGTTTAAAAATTGTATGGTTTAATTTACAAGGAAAAATTTGCTTCAACTAAACATAAACAATTAACTGATAGCTTGTTAATTATTCTAGATGGAATTTTGTAAAGAAATTTTTTTTAAAGTCTTTATGTAAAAAAAAAAGTATGCTGTTAGATGATCAAATCTAACAAATTTTTTTGGATAAACAAATCTTGAGTAGTAAATATAAATCCAGCCTTATTGATATTAACACTAAATAGTAATTTCTGTTTGTACCATACAATTTTGACCGAAAATTAGAGATAACAATACAGCACTTAACTGCCTTAGCTGATAGATACATTAACTAAAAGGAACATTTTTAACTAATTTAAAGTTGGATTTGTATGCAATTCTTTTATTTAAAAACTGTAGGCATACATTAATTTATTAATATCATATAATAATAAACTAGAAAAAAGAATACAGATTTATTGGGGAGAATAAACAAAAAAGCTTGGAAGTATTGTCTAACTTAGTTAATGAAAGTGTTGGTCCTAGCTTAATCCACTTGTTGACATTTAAGGGGTGACAGAATAGCCAGCCAATTCATTTTGTCTTGGTCTCTAGTGTTAGGAGGTAGATTATTTAATCACTTGATGATTAAAGTTTCTTTTAAACCTAGTTAAAATAAATTCACTCAATGTTAAACCTTTATTTTTGCTAATGACTTCTAATAAAATATGTAAACAGTTAATTTCCACCAAATTTTATGACTCACTAAAAAAAAAATCTCTTTGCTTACATGGGTTTAAGTAACTTCTCTACTAATTCGTTGCAATGATAAATATTTTGCTTAACATTAGCAGTTGTTTAATAATTTATAAAAATATACCCTTAACAAAGTTTTCCTAGCACCAATATCTTGTCATGATTCTTTTGGATGAATGCTAGAAATGTCACATAATTTGATAGAATTTTTTTAATAAGTTTAACAGTATAGGGATGGGCAAGAATTTGTCATATTTGTTTTAAACTAATCTCGATATGCATAACCCAGTCAGGTATGTGAGGATTCAAATAAAGAAAAAAGATTTTCACATCAGATGAAATTTTTTAAGCTGAAAATTCTAAGAATAGCAGAAATATTATTTTGTTTTAAAGAGGTCATTATGAGAATAATTAAACATAAAATGATAAGATATAACTAATTATTGTGATCTAGCTGCCTATTGATTGATAACACTAGTGAGAAACAGAAAGAAGAATTATGGGATATATTCTATTTTTAATGCAGCAGTATTTAATGGCTGATTTTTAAAAAAAACCAGTCCAAGGGAAGCTACTCATTTTTTAGTAAAAGACAACTTTTGAGCAGTAGGCAAATAAACACCATAACTTACATGGGGCGACCCATAAATGATGTCATGCTCTTCGAGCCTGTTTTTAAACCCCCCCCCCCCCAATGTTAAACATCATCTAACTAAGAAATGGGCTTATGAGGCTCGTTTGCTGGGGACAGGACAGCAACCCATCAAGGAGAGAAAACTCCAAAATCAACCAACTGCTACCTTGCAAATTGTCTTTAGTTGAACTTAAGTGGACAAAGGCTGTGGAGCTAAATCCAGAAAGAAAAGCAGGCTGAAATCTGAAACAACTGGCCATGTGAGCATATCATTTTCACACGTAATACTTAATATTGTGTTAGAGGAAATCCACTCCAATATTTCAAAAAACAATGAAGAAGTCTAACAAGGCCAACCCCTCTCTCCTTTAAAAAGCTCTTACACAATTACAACTTGATAGCTATAATGCTAGTAAAAATCAATATTTCTCATTATTTTTATTTATTTCTATTAAAAACAAAAAAAAACTTCATCAAATTTTATTTACCCCTTGATCTATATAGCACACCATCATAGAACCCCTAGTTAATTGACATCATTTATGGACGACCCCTAAATCACAGAACAAAAATAAAAACAAGAAATCCTCACTCAAGTCATGTGTACAAAACAAAACAAACAGAAGCCAGCAGCTGTCCACCTGATTTGTCAGCCAAGGTGTCTTAGTCAATAGAAATAATTGTTCGTGTGAAATGGGAAGTTAATATAAGAAATGTGACCAAAAAGCATTAAGTATGCACTATCTATCTCACACATAAAAAATATATATTTAAATTATTGAGCTCTTTAATCCAACTTGTAAAAAACTAACAACAAAACTACAAATATTAGCCTACTAACAGTAAGGCATCAGATATATCAGTTACATAAAAAAAATCAATATGTAGAATTTTTATTATAATTAAAATAGACAATCAATAAAATGTACAGAGAAATAAATTTAAAAATGTAATATATTTCTCATGGTTATTTATCTTCAAAAGAAAATTTAAATATATTTTTTGTAAGGCCTTTGACAATATTTCAAATGTACATGTTTTCTCAGCTACATGTTACTGTTTGATAAACTTTTTTTTTATGTAGGCCCAATTTATTTATTTATTAAAATTTATTAATATTTTAAAAATATTAATGACTAGAAAATTGCAACCTCATTCCATGTATGAAAATCTAAACTAGCTTGTATAAAAACATATATTTCATATAAATATAAACCAATAGCTACCATACCAAAAATACATTCATAGCTAAACATCAACAATTGATACAACAATGTATTGTACTATACAGAACTATACACTATACATCAGCAGACATAATAGTAACTCAGTGGCGTAGCGAGGTAGGGTGTCACCCAGTGCGGCACTTAATGGTGTCACTCCCCCACCCCAGAGGTGTAGCGACCCTTCCCAGGGACAAATTTTTTATTTGCACCCCCCTCAAACTTTCGATTTGCACCCCCCCCCCCCCCTCAAATTTTTCTCTATATATTTTGCTATTTTTTTGCCTCCGTGTCACCCCCCTAAATGGTGTCACCCGATGCGGCCCGCCCCCCCCCCCCCCCTCGCTACGCCTCTGTTGTAACTCATAGCATCAGAGGTGATTTGTTTCATTTTTTCTGTACAAAATTTTATAATTATCCTACAACATCATTACAGAATCTTGAACTTAATGTCATTCATGTTTACAGTGAAATGATCAGGCCATTAGGGATGTATATGGACAAGTTATAAAAATATCTCATGATTTAAACCCTACAGAACATGTTTTGATTTATAGACCTAAAAATATTTAATAATAAATTACTTAATCATGTTATGTAAAGAGACTGGCAACAATTCCATAATGTTATGATTGAATTCCTAAAGATTTTATCATAATTATGAGTTGGAGGATCATGTGATGAGTGATGACTTAAAGATCTTCTATGATTAAAATCTTAAAGAAAATCTTAAGATCTTATTATGTTTAAGGATTTCAATTTCTTTCTATGATTAAAGTCTAAAGATATTGTTATAATTTATTATCTAAAGATCATGTTATATTTAAAGACCAAGAGATCTTGTGATGTTCATGGACCTAAAGATCTTGTTTTATTTAAAGATTTAAAGACCTTGCTAAGACTAAATACCTAAAGACCTTGCTAAGATTAAAGACCTAAAGAACTTGTTAAAAACCTAAAGATCGTGTTATGATTAAAGACAAAGATATTACTATGAATAAAGACCTAAAGACCTTGCTATGATTAAAGACCTATCTTGTCCATTTCCCGAGTCATCTGGCAGATTGCACAAGGCTCACAACACAGGCTTGTAAAAAAATCTTTTATAATGGAACCCTGTGGAAGGACAATTTACAGTTAATAAACAATAGGATTTCTGTTAACAGTTAATAAACAATAGGATTTCTGTGCCATTTCATGAGGTTTATACAGGTTTTATTTTGTCAGGTTTTATTTTGTCACGTTTTATTTTGTCAGGTTTTATTTTGTCAGGTTTTATTTTGTCAGGTTTTATTTTGTCAGGTTTTATTTTGTCAGGTTTTATTTTGTCAGGTTTTTTTTTGTCAGGTTTTATTTTGTAAGGTTTTATTTTGTGATGTTTAATAGGTTTTAATTGTCATCAAGGGGATATGGTGGTTGAATGGAAGAGCATTTGGCTGCTAGCCAGAAGGTCTTGAGTTCGGATCTAGGTTCAGACTTGTGACTGCAGGGCGTCCCTGAGTCTACCCCACTCTGATGAGTACCTGACTAACATTAGGGAAAGTAAGGCGGCATATAAACTCTACTTCAACTGCCCAATAAATCACTAGCCATTCATTAAGCAATTTTAGCTTAATAACCATCACCATCCTCCATAATATTAAATGAATCTATAACGATGCAATCACTCTAAGTAACAGAAGTTTAGGAAAACTCAGAATGTAAAAATTTAAGTGAGCACCAAACACATTCCTAAAACTGGTAAACTGATTAATGATATGTATAAAAAGGCTAATATATAAATAATTTTCAATGTTACTAAATTATAACAGAGCGATGTCCATTATTCATTTTTATTTCTGATAACACTTTAATCAATATAATCCCAAATTGCGGACCAATATCTGTTCACCTTAATCCATGATCCAACATTTATTTTAAGCTTATCCTATTTACCTTATCAAAATAAATCTAAATTCTCATCTTAAGTCAGTAAAAAGAGATTTAATCCCTACTCACCTTAATCTCAAAACGTGATATAACCTCTAGGCACCTTAACCCCAAACATGATATAATCTCTACTCACCTTAATCACAAAAATATGATCTAATCTATAGAACTCATCTTTAGAACCCAAAAAGTTATCTAATCTGTGCTCACCTTAATCCCAAAAAGTTATCTAATCTCTGCTCACCTTAATCCCAAAAAGTTACCTAATCTCTGCTCACCTTAATCCCAAAAAGTTATCTAATCTGTGCTCACCTTAATCCCAAAAAGTTACCTAATCTCTGCTCACCTTAATCCCAAAAAGTTATCTAATCTCTGCTCACCTTAATCCCAAAAAGTGCTCTAATCTGTGCTCACCTTAATCCCAAAAAGTTATCTAATCTCTGCTCACCTTAATCCCAAAAAGTGCTCTAATCTGTGCTCACCTTAATCCCAAAAAGTTATCTAATCTCTGCTCACCTTAATCCCAAAAAGTTACCTAATCTCTGCTCACCTTAATCCCAAAAAGTTATCTAATCTGTGCTCACCTTAATCCCAAAAAGTTACCTAATCTCTGCTCACCTTAATCCCAAAAAGTTATCTAATCTCTGCTCACCTTAATCCCAAAAAGTGCTCTAATCTGTGCTCACCTTAATCCCAAAAAGTTATCTAATCTCTGCTCACCTTAATCCCAAAAAGTGCTCTAATCTGTGCTCACCTTAATCCCAAAAAGTTATCTAATCTGTGCTCACCTTAATCCCAAAAAGTTATCTAATCTCTGCTCACCTTAATCCCAAAAAGTTATCTAATCTCTGCTCACCTTAATCCCAAAAAGTGCTCTAATCTGTGCTCACCTTAATCCCAAAAAGTTATCTAATCTGTGCTCACCTTAATCCCAAAAAGTGCTCTAATCTTAACTCGGAGGCCAAAGGCAGCACACGGTATAAGAGGCATGAAAGGAGTTTCTCCCAGTCGGGTTGCCAGACTGTATCTATACGCTGGCCAACAACACACCATAGCTAGGCCTGTGGACACGTAACCAGCAGTAAGAAATGTAATCTACAACACACGTTTTATATCTGTTTATAAAATTTAGCACTTTTTCGTTTTTTGTCCGTTTTTCCTCAAACTCAGTATTAAGTGTCAACATATTAAGCATCACATGTCCCATTGACACCCCACTCCTGCCCCCCCCCCCCCCCTCGAAAAAAAAGAAACACGACCTTCCCTCCCCTGAACACTGACACACCCCTGTTGACCAGTCCCTACCCCCTCCCCCACCCCCACAAAAAAGAAACTTACACGACCGCCCCTCCCCTGAACACTGACACAACCCAGTCGACCAGTCCTCCCCCCCCCCCCCCCACAAAAAAATAACTTACACGACCGCCCCTCCCCTGAACACTGACACAACCCAGTCGACCAGCCCCCACCCACCTCACCCCCCCCCCCCAACTACAAAAAGAAAACTTACTAGACCTCCCCTCCCCTGAACACTGACACAACCCGGTCGACCAGTCTCCCCAACCCCACCCCCACAAAAAAGAAACGTACACAACCGCCCCTCCCCTGAACACTGACACAACCCAGTCGACCAGTCCCCCAAACCCCCACCCCCACAAAAAAAAACAACTTACACGACCTCCCCTCCCCTGAACACTGACACAACCCAGTCGACCAGTCCCCCACTCACACCCTCCCCCCCACTCCCACAAAAAAAGAAACTTACACGACCGCCCCTCCCCTGAACATTGACACAACCCAGTCGACCAGTCCCCCCCCCCCCCTACAAAAAAAACTTACACGACCGCCCCTCCCCTGAACATTGACACAACCCAGTCGACCAGTCCCCACCCCCACAAAAAAAACAACTTACACGACCGCCCCTCCCCTGAACACTGACACAACCCGGTCGACCATTCCCCTGCCCCCACAAAAAAAAAAAAACTTACAGGACCGCCCCTCCCCTGAACACTGACACAACCCGGTCGACCAGTCCCTCTCGCTGTGGGCGTCATTGAACGGCGAGTGAAAAGACTTGTCCGCCGTTTTTCTGGAACTTTTCCTCGGCTGGTTGGCTATCACCAGGGACTGGTCAGCCTCGTCCACGGCGGTGAACTCGAACGAGGGCCCCAGGGAGGCGTTGGTGATCTCGTCTGCACATGGTTCTGTAGAAAACGACCCACGAAGCAAGTGTTGGTTGGTGATGGCGTCGACGGATCTTTCGGTGGAGAATGACCCGCGCAGTACAATTTTACTGTCGCTTTCTGTTGAGTAGAAAAAAAAATTTACAAGGGAAACAATTCTCCCAATGCGTAATTTTTGGACAAAGCATATAGATAGAAATAGCAATTTGAACATGTGAAAATGTGTTACCTCCCTTACTTAGTTTCACTTACTCATGGGAGGTAATCAGCAGCGTCGGGTTTACAATGTTTCTTTATGTCGTTACACTTCACTCCCTGACACGTTGGGTTGTGTCAATGGACTACATGATGTCAATAGATCAAATAAACTGGCAGAATTATTTTTTTTCCAGTAGATCTTAGTGACCCATGTTTTGATGCCGGCTACTGGATTTACATTTCTGGAAGCCTCCTTACTGATATGGCATCTATGTGTGTATGTGTTTACATGTATGTGTGTATGTGTTGACATCTATGTGTGTATGTGTTGACATTGATGGGTGTATGTGTTGACACCTATGTGTGTATGTGTGTGCCGGTGTTAAACTTTATCAGCATTTCTACATGTGGAATCGCCGATTTCTACCCTATTTCATCTCTTGACAAGCGAATACGACTCCTTTTGACAGCTAAATATGTATTCACTTGATTTCCCCTAAAATCTAAATATTACTACACTCTCTCTCCTGCAGGCGCTATCTTCTCTGTGATATTTTAGCGAACAAGAGGATGTCCTTATTAATATTTTCCCCCTACCAACAAACAGTGAATACCTTTGGTTTCCCATTCTATTCTTATCGGCGTATTGATTTGTCAGAATCCGCGGAAGATTTAATTGGAACAACTAGGCGGCGTTGAGAAACTAATAGAGACTGTGTTGAACTAGGCTTATCTTTCGGCTAAAGGACTACTTTTATGTCCATTTTAAAGTAAGATTAGATTTTGAATCACAATTTTAGGGGGTGTAGGACAAAAGGCCGACATCCAAAAGGCCGACAAGACAAAAGGCCGACACGGACAAAAGGCCGACATGGACAAAAGGCCGACAGGACATAAAGCCGACAAACCATAAGGCCGACAAGCATAAAAAATTATAATATCGCAAAATATGTGTTACTGCATAGCTTCTATCTTGACAACCATCGAAATAAGGCATGAAATAAGGTGAAACGTTCGAGAGAAGAGACGGTGCTAGTTGCTATTCTTATAAGATGAACCATCGGGTCAAGCGACTGGAGATTACGGGAGTGTCTTAAACACAAAGGATCAACACCTAAATATTGCGACATGCTGTCACTGCTGTCTTTCATAGCTCCTTCTATGTCAAAGGGGTGAGATAATCATCAAAGAACAAAGTCAAAAGCTGCCGGCATTATCGCCCACATGCAACAAGGTGGAAGAGACAATGTTAGTTGCGATCCTTATAAGGTGGACAATTGGGTCCATGCGACTGGAGATAGGTGGAATTACCACCATATTACGCAAAGAAATCAAAGAAACCGAATGAAGTAGACCGATCACGTGCCTTGACTGGACTACAAGTTAAATACCGACAAACTTTGAATTATATTTTAGTTTCGTCCTTAGCGAATTGCGTGAAAAAAGTGTATACTATATTCGTTGGATTCATTAATTATGTTGTGATTTTGATACAAGTGTGCCAAAGTTGGTAAGTTTTTTTTTTTATGTAAACTTGCCCCTGTGATTTCCCTATATAAGGACCAATATATAGTCAACAAATAATTGGTTACATCGTGTGTATTATTTTATCCTATTCTATGTACCTAAGAATATTTATGAGAAACTTAAACAGTCGTATATAATTACATATTTTAGATATTAAACATGTCTGTAATTGTAGTTTGTTGTTTTATAAAACGTGTCGGCCTTTTGTCTTGTCGGCCTTTTGTCTTGTCGGCCTTTTAGCAGTCGGCCTTTTGTCTTGTCGGCCTTTTGTCTTGTCGGCCTTTTGGATGTCGGTCTTTTGGCAGTCGGCCTTTTGTCTTGTCGGCCTTTTGTCCATGTCGGCCTTTTGTCCGTGTCGGCCTTTTGTCCATGTCGGCCTTTTGTCCGGATCCCAATTTTAGGACAGGGAAAATATAGGTTTAAAATACCAATAACGTGGATACCGGAAGAAAGGCTGCTTTGCTAGTTACTAAGCATTTTGGGGTGTGGGGCATTGATGTCATTAAGGCCAGCCTTATTCCCCTTGTCCCCATTGTCCCTAAAATAGAAACAACAGTGCGACCAGTGTTTCTTCCAGGCATCTCTCTACGTACCCCCTCCCCCCCCCCCCCCCCCCCGAAACGGAAGAAACACTGTGACTCCAACATTTAAAACCAAAGTTTGTGTGGGGATATTGGAAGTTTGTGTGGGGATATTGGAAGTTTGTGTGGGGATATTGGAAGTTTGTGTGGGGATATTGGAAGTTTGTGTGGGGATATTGGAAGTTTGTGTGGGAATAGTTTGTGTGGGCATATTGTAATTTTGTGTGGGAATAGTTTGTGCGGGTATATTGTAAAATTGTGAGGGAATGTTGTAAGTTTGTGTGGGAATAGTTTGTGTGGGAATATTGTAAGTTTGTGTGGGAATATTGCAACTTTGTGTGGGAATATTGTAAGTTTGTGTGGGAATATTGTAAGTTTGTGTGAGAATATTGTAAGTTAGTGTGGAGATATTGTAAGTTTGTGTGGGAATATTGTAAGTTTGTGTGGGAATATTGTAAGTTTGTGTGGGAATATTGTAAGTTTGTCTGGGAATATTGTAAGTTTATGTGAATGTTGAGCCGAAGTTTAAAACGCATAACATGTATGCACGACAGTACATGTGAGTTCATTACGAGCAAGCCATGATACAGAAGCGGTTTAAAGCAGCAGTGAGATGCAAAATTGTGATATTTAGAATTTTAAACACCGCACATGTGCATATACATACTTGTCCAGAGTTATTTCAGCAGACGGCCAACGCGATTAATTACCGCGTGAGTCATTGGCTAATTATGCTCTGCACCGAAGTTTGGTTTTTTTATGTATAGGGTAGGGGATGGGTGGGTGGGTTTAACTATAACATTAAGAAAACGCTAATTTTTTTTTTATTTACCTCTTTACGACATCATTACGATATGTATATGTCAGAACCATGTGTTTTTTTTTCTTTCTTGGGGGGATGGGGAGGGGTACTTGTATGTTAGCAATACCGTTGAGTATTCTGGTGTCGGTGGTTGGGTTAGGATCAGGGTTTGGTTATGGTTCAATGACTTCGATGTCAAAAGGGTCTTCTCTACATTACGTCACACATTGTTGAAAAATTTTACCACCTTCACAAAATGTCACAACCTTTCGCCCCCCCCCCCCCCCCACCCCAAACACTTCAGCCCTCCAACATCACACTTACTCCCTCCATATTGTTTTTCAAAGAGGGTTTTCTTTTTTTTTTTTTTTTTTTGTTGAAAACTCCATTAACTAAAAGGGGTCAACCCCTACATATCCACCACACACCCCAGATGCACTTGGAGTGTGACGTCATTTATGCCTCCTCTTCCTCCCCCCCCCCCCCCCCCCCCACCACTCCAATACTTATTGTTTTGGAAAATAGGTCTTACATTCATAAGGAATAGACAAAATGGTGTCCATCTGTTTCTTTGACATCAGTATTTAACGGGATTCTCGTGTGTGGGTGAAAGGGGGGGGGGGGGGGTCAGCACTACAACCTGCTTTCATTGCTTCTCACCCCACCCCAGACTATAGTCAGGAGCCCATCAGAGCTGGGAGGAGTCAGAGACGTCATTTTACGCACATGAGCATAGGACGTGAGCCCAAGACTCAAGGGCTAGCAAGCGAGCGCTCTATGACACAATATAGCACGGTCAATAGATACATATTAACAGTCTGGAATTTCCGGGGGGAGGTGGAGTAAGTGATGCGACATCCTTGACCTACAGTTCTGGTGCGTGTGAACTGATATGCTATTTATAAATGCCTTCTGGTGTAATGAACTTGTTTCCCTGTCTGAGTCAGTTCTATGGGTGTTAATGTTCGCGTTCGGAATTAGAATTATCTTTAAGTAATAATAAAACAAGTCGTGGTAGTATCCTCATAAATTAAAGACAATTACAGGTACAGTGGCAGTTTCGACCCAAGGTCTTCGTCAGTACTGTGTGGTTAAAGATCAGTGTTCAAAAGTAAAGATTCCTTTTTAGACCTAGAGATCCATTAGGCAAATGAAGTAGTGGTCAGTGGCAAATGAAGGGATGGTGTGGTTAGCACTATGTGACTATGCCAAGCCGCCTTTACTTCCCCCAACGCTTGGTGGACTCAGGGACGTGCTAAAGGTATCCAAATTAAGAGACGCGAGTTGGAGGACGCTTGGACAACGTACTGTGGGTAGGGATGTTGTGTTGGGTGGGGGTCAGATAAAAAACACCTATTAATTAAAACCATCAGGTGCTCTGGTAGCCTTGAGACTAAAACCTCACTGCATCTACCATGTTCACTTATTCGGATTATCTTCATCTCTACATGATCGCCAAGGGTAACTGGAAACATGCGCAACTGAAAACTGCGCTTTCGAAAACTGCACACAAAATGTGCGCAAAGGATTTTTTTTTAAATCAAGCATTTATGGTTTTAACAAAGATTGATCACATATACATTATTGTATAATAAAACATTTTTCCACGGAATGTTACAAAATTAAAGAATATTCGTATATTTAGTTTCTATTTGCGCTTTTTTGTGTGTGAAGTTTTCCGTTGCGCAATTTTCCGTATTCCTTTTTCTGGGAACCGATCGTCTGCATGTTTGGTCAAAAGGAAGGGGTGGAGGTCATAAGATCCACCATCCCGGGGAAAATCTAGCTTGTCCCCCATGGAAAAGATCCTACGGGCGCACATACAGCCCACCTGTGAATATGTGCTCACCTATGCTAGTGCAGGTATGAAAAGTATAGCTAGTTCTTAAAGTGTAGAGAGTTCAAGAAAGTTTGCTTTCAACTGCCGGTGATTCATTATCCGGGAGTGGGGCGCCGGTTGAAATGGTTACATTTACAATACATTCAGGTAGGATTGAATCTCGGGCATTGAATTTTTTTTTTAAACTTTAGCACTCAAGACATATGTAAGGGAGATAACTTTAAAAATATTTTTAAAGAGTTTTTTCCTTTCTTGTATTTGGAGCAAAGGGGAAGAATTGTAATCATTTTTTTTTTCTAAAATATTTATTTAGCTCTGTCAATATTGAGTATGCATGTATTAATCAATTTATTAAATTTTACAAAAAATGACAATGGCTACAATTGTGTTTGTAACATTACTTTAAAAATATAAAACTGTGCCGTCACAAACAACCCCCCCCCCTTACATACACAAGTCCGAACCTCTCCCACCCCTCTAAGAGTGACGTCATTTATGGACAAACCACCTTAGGAATCGCATTGTCGAATGGTAGAGCGTTTGGCTAGTAGCCCCAAGATCGCGAATTCGGATCTCGGTTCGGACCTGTGATTAAGGACGTCCCCGAGTCTACCCAGCTCTGATGGGTACCTGACTTACGTTGGGGAAAGTAAAGGCGGCTGTGTATAGTGCTGTCGTGTGCTGACCACACATGACTTCATTGCCGATGCCAAGGAACTAATGAACTCTACTTCATCTGTCCAATAGATCGCTACGTCTAAAAGGAATCTTTTACTTTTGAGTGAGTTAGTAAGAAATGTGTTACGAACGGGAGATAAACCTTCATCATATGCCGTCATAACTGTATGCACTGTATTCTCGAGTTTATATCATGTTGTTTTTTTTTTTTTTTTTTTTTTTTTTTAAACAACACATGTAAAAAAACTTACCACTCAGTCCAGTTGTCTCCCCTTCCATTTCTTCATTGACAGTTCTTTCCCTTGTATTCGGGCTTGTGTCTGCAAGATTTTACATAATGATAAAACAAAGTATTTTTATACAGGTAGAATTATTTTTAAGATGGTCCAAGATCTACCAACATTTGTAACTAAATGCATAGTCTATAATCCTGAGCGTGTAATCCTGTGCTGTGAAATTACTGCGATACATGCAACCTATGTTGTATAATGCATATGAGCAGGTGTTATTAATAGTATGTATGCCACTTATTTTCTACGTTGGATTTTACGCTGAGTGTATCTGAATATTAGCTTCATTTAACCCTAGCCTTGACCCAGTCCAAGCTGATGAAACCCGATGTTTACCAACGGATATTGCGATTTCATTATTCTCAGGCTTACAACAGGGTGTTACAATTAATTGTGGCAAACTTTCACATATACACAAGGTGTTTCAATATGTTTCACATACAAGCCTACACAACGTGTTTCAATAAATCGTGGTAGTTTCTCATATACACAACTCACTTTGCCACTGGATGTCTTTTTTCTATAGCGAGTGATCCCTCACATCCAACTATACTTGCAACAAGACAGTCAGTAATACCAGGGTTTCTTTCATACGTTTTTCTTCGTCGGGATGATGAAGGGGGGGGGGACTTGCAACTTCTTAGGGGGACCGCACATAAACTTCCGGGGTGAGTGGACAATGGTTATAGTATATATTTTAGATAGATATTTTTTTTCTATTTGGTCTGTAGCACAACTACCGCTCCCCTCCCCCAGGAGAAATGCCTGAAAGAAACTCTGAGTAACTAGTGCAGCTATACAGCCAGTATCACAGCAATGTAAGCAGCTACCCAAAAGGTGTGTATATATATATATATATATATATATATATATATATATATATATATATATATATATATATATATATATATATATATATATCTGTGTATATATATATATATATATATATATATATATGTATATCTGTGTGTATATATATATATATATATATATATATATATATATATATATATATATATATATATATATATATATATATATATATATATATATATATATATATATATATATATATATATATATATATATATATATATATATATATATATATATATATATATATATATATATATATATATATATATATACCTATATATATGTGTGTGTGTGTGCGTGTGTGTGTGTATGTTTGTGTGTGTGTGTATGTGAATTAGTGTGCATTGTTTTCTTATAAGAAGACCATATTCAGCTAGTTATCAGTATATTTACTTTGTCTATAAATAAAGTAAAACCCTCTCAATGACTCATACATTATGAGCACACAATGTCATTTTTTTTTCCTTTTCAAAACGAATAAAGAGAAAACTTTTTTTTTCAACAAAGCATGACGTCTGCGACATGTTGCCTGCCTAAAAGCCGACAGCACGTGCAGAGGCCGTCGCTCGTGAGTACACAACGACTCATTCATCCATCAAGCCTGGCTGTGTTATTGAGATCGCAAATGGCGGTAGCTTAGCCCGGAAAAAAAAAAGTAACCAAATGAAGAAGACTGAATAGGTTATGTGTGTAAATACTAGACTTGTTTTTAACACACACTAACTGTAAACATAGTTGTGAGATGCTAATATAATAGTAACTAAGATACACTAGGCTACACTACATGTTAGCACTGTGTTTAAGGTTTTACTTACGCATCGACATAAAAACAAGCACACACGCATGTTTAGAACATTATACAGTAAAGTTTAGGAAAACAAAACTACAAACATGCAGACAGTCTAAATTACAGATACGTCAAAGTTTACCGGGTCAGACGGAAGTGTTAAAAAAGTTAACCAAACTCCTACCTTTCAGACAATACAAGTCTTGTAGATATTTGTTGCTTTAACTTTCAAACAAAAGCTTTAAAAAATTGTTCGACTACATCAGTCCATAAAGCAAGCTGTGAAAAACTGTCTTTTTATTTTTGAAATAAGTGCATATTTTTAAACTTAATGTTGTATTTTTTATAGAGTGAAGACTGAAAAAAATATTGACAAGGTAGATAGGTGTATACACAGTTCTCTCTCTTTATTCCTTTTTAGAAGGGTGAGAGGTTGGTAGAGAAAAGCACGTGTAAGTCTGAGTTACGGGTATAGTGTGGTACAAACTATGGTAACCCAAACACCCATGTTTTATTTTTTGCTAGTATTATAATGACAGCAGTGGTTATCCCAATGTAGTTTTAGCATTTTTTAGAAATCGAGTAGCTGATCGATTATTGAAGATTAACAAAGAAAACGCAATTTTTTTTCTGAAATGTGAGATAAAGGCAGGATGGGATCAAATGAAAAAAAAAAACCCATCTTCTGTAAACTTAAGACGGCCGGCTTTTAGAGGGAACCCAAAAGACGTAAAGAAGGAAAACAGAAGTATTTTTAAATTCACTGGTTTATTTTAAAAGATAATTCATAGTCTGATACATAAACAAATGAGTAAGTAAATAAATACATAAATAAATTTAAGTGTGTGTTATATTTTTTTTCAATTTCTTTGAGGGTGGGAAGGGGGGGGGGGGGGGGGGGGGAGGAGGACGGTGGACGGTGGGCGTGGGGGGGGGGGGGGGAGTCAGTGAGCCCTGGACAGATTCCTGAAAGAAACTCTGGCATCAAATATAGCATGCAATGAGAGTTTCAACCGAAGAAATAGTATGACTAGGTTGGTTTAAATGATGAATGGAAAAACATGGGTCGAAGAAAGGAGCAAAGTAAGAATAGTAATGCTGCAAACAGAGTTTCTTCCATGCATCTCTTGGGGGGGGGGGGGCAGAAGGAAGTCTACCGCCCCCCACCACCCCCCCCCCCCCCCGGAGAAAAAAGTCTGGAAGAAACACTGCTGCAAGACAAACCAGAAGCGCTAGAGAGGTACACGATGAAAGAAATATAAGGAAAGAAAAAGAAAGAATGGGAAAATGCTACATTAGTGGAAATAGAAGATTTAACAAGTATTCGTCGGGGATGCGATAATCATTTTTACTTAATACTCGGAGTCGGTATCTGAAGAGATTTGTCAGTAGGCACCATGTCCTGTTGACTATACTGTCCTGCACTATTTGATCTTCTTTCATCCTCATCCTGTTTTTTTATTTTTTAGTTTTTCAATGTGATTAGATTACTTTTTTTTTAATTTTAAGACAATTAATTTCAACTATCAGCCAACAATATATATATATATAATATATATATATATATATATATATATATATATATATATATATATATATATTATATATATAATGAATTTTTAAAAAAGTAAAACCCTTGTCCTTTTCGTGAATATTCAAAATTATCAAATATGACAAAACGGGACCCCGTACCTTCTTCGAAATTAGGTAGCAGAGAAGCAGCCGACGAGAGTACAACAGAGGGAACATGTGGTGAAGTAGCGCCACGCGCATGCCTATCCTGCATTCTGTCCACCACTGGGCGCTAGTACAACTTGATGGAGTCTGGCTGCGAGTTATGGCGCCTACTTCTGTGGAAATCGACTTTTAATGAAACATTCCGCGCCTTCAGTAGTACCTTCAGAAGTTTGTTTATTCAAGCTCGCTGAGATGCTTGTAGTAAATGTACCTGGGTTTATAACAGTAGTTTGTATCTTCTACATGGGTAGCTGTTGGATGAGAAGGGGGGGGGGAGGGGGGGGGGGGTGTTTAAATGTGAAAATAGTTTTTTATATTGGCGCATATTTATAGCAGAAATTAACAAAGAGTCGCCTTCCATGATCTTTAGTATAAAATACACACTGAATGAAAGGATGAATGAAATAAATATTTTAAAAGATTTTATAATTAACTCGGTTATGTATATTTGTGATCCAACAGTTTTCATTTATTTCCAGCTAGGTCGACCTCAAACCCTTTCGATTTATTCACATGCACCTTTCTTCGGTGTTTCTTTCAGACATTTTACTCCAAGGGGCGGACGCTAGTTAAAGTATATAATTTGTATATAAATTGTATTTCTTTCTGGGGCGGCGAATGTGCCTGGGGGGGGGGGGGGGGACATGACTGAAAGAAACTCTGAATTTTCCCCATTCAAACAATCGTAAATTAACACTGGTTTGATAACAGGGACACTATACTCTCGTGGGAAGCTTACAGCACCTCTCTCTGTTGGGTTGTCTTCTCTTGTTGCTGCTGGTTATCTGACAAGGACGACAACGCCAACAACATGTGTATCACGTCATCCATTTATGACGGATCGTGCACGTATTTTATAACCCAAAAATTTACCACATTCTTTTCACGTCTCACTCACTTTCAACTGGGCACACGTGGACTCCCCATACTGTAGCACGTTCTTTTTCACTCTGGGCACTACAAATGCCCCACTAACCCTGCACAAGTGCCCCTTCCCCCCC